GGAGAGCTTTGGATGTTGTATGAACAGATGAAAGGGCTGTAAGAGCAGTTTGAGGGGTGAAGCATTTAGGGCAAAGACCGGGAGCACAGTGGCAATATTAGAAGAAACATAGCTGAGAGTTGGATTACATGTACATATTAGTGCTCAGGACAATGAAAATGTATTTGTATGGCATCAGGCTTAATTTGCTTTACTGCCAGTGGAGTAAGTTATTTTTCCCGTTAGTCCCAATTGCTGTTGCTTTGTTTTTGTATTGCCTCCCTCATCAGCAACGACCTGAGAGGCAGATACAATCTTTCAGACACTTGAAATTTTAGGCTGGCAAAAAATAGCATTTCCTAGCAAGGGAACATCTCCCTGACAGCTGCAGTAAGCAAATGAAGGAGTCCCAGCTCTAAAGAGTGTGTGTGTGTGCATGCATCCATGTGTGTACGTGCATGTATTTCGGTAGCAGATCTCTTAGCACAGTGATCTGTGCAAATTAAAAGCAGAAGTCAGTAACAGCCAGCCCATTTTAGCAGAATACTTACCAAAAGTGTGGTGTTTAACACTTTCTCCTGTTCTTGGCTTTTGATCTGTCTGGTGTGGGTGTTCTGCAAATGTGAATAGTCTTTATCAAGCCTGTGGCCTTGAAAGAGCTGCTGTCATGCAAGAAAACAGACTATGCTCATACAGCACTTGTGTCAGAGTCACTTGCAGTCCACCATGAAGTTCTTACCCACTTGCTTGGTGAATGGAGGTATTTTTCACTTGGCAGTGTGCTTAATTAGGAGTTAGTATCAACCAGAGATTAGATCTAGTTCAGTTACCTACTTCCAGGAATAGCATTTGCCATACTGTTTCTATTGTCAAGGTAACTGTGTCATCCTTTTATAGTTGGATTTTCTGAAGTAGTAAAGCAAAAGGCAACAACAACAACATTTCTGTGATACTTCAAGAAAGTGGTGAGCTTCTACGAAGTGAAAAGAATTGGGATAATAACCCCTAGGCTTTCAGAATCCATGCTACTCATCACATAAAGTACCATGAAACTTACAAAACTTGGCATCAGCTCACACAAACAGACAGTATAGCAGACAACTCGGCAGTACAAGGCTCTGCAAACCTAGGTGACCTTAATGCAATAAAGCCTAGAATGCATCCTCATGAGATCACATATACGTTGCTTTCACGTTCAGGCTGGTTCACATGGAGCCTGCATGGCAGTTTCTGCAAAGGCAGCACAGCTACCATGCTACACAGTTACTTCTGCCCCAGATAACCAGGAAGAGATTGCCATTGCTTTGGTTTTGGATGGGTTAATAGCAAATAAAATGCTCTTGTCTTTATTTTGCATGAACTAAAACAGATGAGAATTACTTGATCTGGTGGCTAGGATGGCAGCATTTTACCAGAAATATACTGTTCCATGCTCGTAATGCTTCAACTCAGCTTAGAGACTATTTTGCCTCTTTATTCTTTTGTTTTTCTAGGAGCTAATTTCCATTTACAGAGTTATTTCATCTGGATCAGATAGCTAAGCTTTATTTTTCTTATAATGGCAGAAAATTATTTACATCTATTCATTGGGAAAAGAGCCCCAAATTTTGGGAATTCAAAAGAGAATACTATTTTTAGTTCATTTTCTTAAGGAAACCATGCCCACTCAGCCAAGTTGTTCGTTCACCCATCAATTTGATTCTAATAACTATGAACCTGCATCCCAATTTCAGCCAGATTTGGCAAATTTGCTGTGTTCCTGCAAATCATCTAAACACATGTGGTTAGATTGAAAGAGCCTATTATTTCCTTCATCATGCAGAAAAAATCAGCCATTCTTTGCTCTTTTGGGTGAGAGCAGCCTGGCCCATTAGTCTGTGTTACTAATTGATTGGGTGCAGAGGTGTATCTAATACAGCTACAGCACATCTGGCCCCTTCCCTGCCTGCTAATTATAGCACTCAGCGTGAGGTGAGGAGAACGTAGGGATATATAGAAAGATAAGGGGAAAACTAGGGTTATTGAAGGCCTGTTGGGGGCTTTGTAGGAATTAGGTAGAGAAACAAATCTGTAAGAGATCAGGCTTCAGCAGTTCCGCTACTCATGAAATACTGTCTTCTCTTTCCCTCAGGAGTATCTCACTCTGAACTTTTTTTGCCATTTATATTCAGAAACCTCACCTGAATGACTCAGATCTTCTCATCTGGCACTTTGAAGATGTCATTGCCATTCAGCCTACATTTGCTGGATAAATATGACAGCCACCTTTCTGGGCATCTCCTCCCTCAACTACTTGGGAACACAGAATCCCAAAAGCACACATCATTCTCCCCCCTCACTCACACACTGTCTGTGTCACTTTTCATCCTTTTCTTCCTTGGGAGAATGAACACTGAATATACATCTTTCACTGGAACAGGGGAACTTTTATGGTGACAGTCATGATTTGTGAAAGAGCCAGCTGGCTATGCCTGGTTTGCTTCTCTTGTAAGATATTAAGAATTGCAAGCACACATTTTAGCAAGTACCTGCCAAGCAAGGTGCTTTTCAAATTTAAGATCTTCTCTATCTCAAATACATACACAAGTGACAGGATGGCAACCTGAGAAGGTGAGAGGGGAAGAAAGGGAAAAATAGAGGGAAAATAGTAATGGGAACATCTGAGGTTGTGCTTGTGGTATACGTGAGTCAGGTGAAGGACTGAAGAAAAGAGGTTGATGAAATGAGGGAATGGGAGTGCAAAATAGTGCAAAGTAAAGCAATGTGAGATGTTTTTGCAAATCACTTTCTCTATAGTAGCCCTTTTTGACCTGACAGAGGAATCCCCAGAGGAACACTGCATGGTATCATATTGTTTTCTTCAGTACCTTTCATTCTGTTGTTACAAATTTTAATGCTTTACTTAGTATTTGACATCTGCTGAGCACTTGGCAGACGTCTTGGATGAGCTGTCAGCAAATGCATTTGCATCTTGGGCACCACAAATCGATTTGACGGCTAAACTGGATAATTTAAATAAAAATAGATTTCAATGAAGAATGAAACCTACCTCCTGCTCACCAAATTAAAATCCTAAAAGCATAGGTTCATTTGGCACAAATATTCCATTCAGCCTCAAAGATAATCTTTGCTTAGAAGGAAAGTAGAAGAAAATATACTGTAACCCTCCAAAATTACTGTCCCTGCTTCTTCAGTGAGAAAACACTCACCAGTGATGTGGGAGCCCTAACCACCTATCTAAGATGTTTTCTTGCATAGCTGAAAGGAATCAAACTTTTCTTGGCATACAACTAAACAAACATGTGGATCAGGTAGAGTCATCTTAGGAATAATTGCCAGAATCAGAGTTTGTTTGTTTATTTATTTATTTATTGCTTTGAGTAAATGAAGCCCCTCAGCCCGCCTGCCTTGGCGCAACTTATGCAGCGGTAGCCCTGGCATTGTCCCACGAGATATGCACCTCCCTCACCTGGAAGGAAAGTGAACTGATTCACCTGCATCGTTTCAAATTCTTCAGTTACAGTTTCACTTTTTTTTTTTTAATTTGACCTTCAAATATATATATATTTTTTTTTTCTGGAGGAAGCAGTTTGACACAGACAATTAACACTGGCAAACCATTTCAAAATGACAGCAATCACACTGGCAATTTTACAGGTGTTTTTGGTATAACCTTGCTGCCTATTCCTTACAGCTTTCCTTGGAAGTTACCTTCACTCAGAGCCCACTGCATACATGTGCTGCAGCCTATTTTTCTTCCAAAAAGCCATATCTTAAACTTTCTCTGTTGGCATTTCCTTTACAGTTATATTGCTTCCAAACATTTATAGTAGCTTTATTAGATCCATCTGGTATCCATCATAATTCTCAAACTGTTCCAAACCCAAACAATGCGTATCACAAGCAAATTTTACTAGCGGACCATTCATCCTCCCAGACTCTGAATAATATACCAAACGTTGGCTCCAGCTGGGGTCCTTGGAGCATCCTGCTATTAACCTTTTTCCATTTTAAGAACTTGTAATTTATTCTGTCTGTTTGTAGGCTCTCTTGGCTAGTTTTTAATTCATGACAGAACTTTACCTTTCACCTCTGATTCTCAGGTTCCTTTGCAGCCTCTTTGAAAAAGATTTTATTGACAGTGCTTCAAGGCTTTAAATTAATTACACCCCCACATCCTCCCATTATTTTAATACTGCAGTATGTTTATGCCTTAGAAAACAAACACTTTTCCTACCAGTAGGAAGTGACTTCATTTTGGCTTACCAAAACCAGTGCATGGGAGGTCTATATGCTTGCTTGCTTTCCTTCCCCTATCACTATAACTGTTTGATTCCAGCCTATAACAGTCCCCCAAATGCCTAAGAAGTGTGCCTTTAATACTTTAGCCCAACACTGAACTATAACTCCATAACCTGTATGAGATCCACTTTGAAGAGTAAATATTATTCTTTTCATTTTCTCCTTGCAAAGGAAATGTTTACCATAACACATTACCCCAGCTCTTTGAGATTAGATAAACAGCCCATTTAATTCACTGTGAGCTTTTCATTCAGTGGGATTGGTTTTCCTGAATTCAGCTACTTCTTATTTTAGTTCTCACATTCTTATATCACCTGTTCCCCATTAGGTAACATGATTTAATTTCATCTTTTTCAAACACGTCTCAAGGAGTCTTTTGCCTGTATAACTTCTAACAGCCAAGACAGAACTCTGCGTTCCCGTTCCATTACACTAACTAGTGTGAGAATGAATGTACATAAACAGTTCCATTCCCTTTCCCAGATCTCTTCTGGAGGCAAGAAAGTGGAAAGGCAGCTGCATATCTCTGTCATAGTTGAGGATACTGTTAACTGAATTAGTGCACAGCAGACACTGTATGATCAGCAACTGGCTGGACTGAGGTGGCAGTGAAGAACTGGCTGTATCTGGGCTGCTCGCAGGTAAATTTCCTTCCCTGCCTCTTCCTAGTGACCTCTATATTTGTGTTTGCCCATGGCACACTGTGTGGGAGGTTTGTTTTTCCTCTATTTTACTTCATCGGTCATTCGTATCAGATTGACAGTAATGCCATAAATACTTTCATTCTCCTTTGCAGCAATCACCTCTGAGTTCAAATGAAATTTTTCATTGCTTTATTGTTGTCAAAACTTCTTTATTCACAGAAACTCATTCCTTAGCAGCAAACTTTTAGAAACAACAGCATGTATGAAATGATACATCGAGCACTGGAGTAGGAAGCCTCTCTTGCCTCAGTTATCACTGGGACAAATAATAGGGGCAGGTGTTGCCCTCCCAGCTTCTGCCTGCACTATGAATGCCTTGAGATCCAATGGAAATTCCTGCTACTCAACATTTTGAGCCATTAGGTGAGGCATCTGACTCAGTCTGTTAAATCCAAAGGATGATTTTTTTCCATTGATTTCAACAGCTCTGCATCTGGTCTGAGGCAGCTGCCTGGAACTGTAAAGCTATTCTATGTAGAGGTGAAGATTTGTTTCCTGGACATCGCTTCTGCCTTGAACTTTCACTAGCCTTTGGCACAAAACAATACAAGATAAAACATAACAAAAACACCTGGCTTTTGTGTTGAGTCTGGTGTACAGTGTCTGTGAAGATTTCTTCTGTCAAATAAGGCCTGCTGCCAGTGGGGAAAATGGGAAATAAGCCATATTTGCGCACACCTGAATTGTTTTAAAACTCAGACCCTGACACTAATGGCTGTGATACAGAAAAAGAAGGTATTGGTATTGTGTACATCAGCAGAATTGAATCTGCTTAGCTTTTCCCCACTGAAAGCTGGCACTAGAATGAATAGCTTTTCTGTTTGGAAAACTCCTGATGCAAAATGCAGTCAATTCACACACCAGCAACAGGCATGCTTTCAACTCTCCTCTAGTGAAATTCTTACCTACATATATCTAAGAGCTACCACATTAGATAGGTACATTAACCATTTACTGAGGTGCAGGCATGCAAATTATCAACAGGCACAAGCTGGCTGAACCAGTGCCTGTTCTGACAACAGGGAGACTGCCTGATCATGGGAGGAGAAAGGCTCTGGAACAGCTCTTTGGCTGGAGGCCAAAAGTCTGACTTTCAAGTGTCTGTGAGGAGCGTTGTCTCTCTGCTCCTTCAATCTGTCTGTCAGGAATAACTGTTTGCTAACAAGCTTAATGTCTGTAACTGGACTTGTACGTGTTTTCAGGGTTGTGCTAGTTACTGCCATAATGGAACCTTTCCCAGTATCACATGCACTCAAATGAAGCGTTAGCATCTTCAAGGAATTTACACAATGGAAAACATACTGATGCTGGCAGAAAACATACCTGGTTAGGTACATTTTACAAGGTTTGTACAACATCATTTATTTTCCCTTCTAAGTGAAATACATAGGCATCTGTCCCACAGCCTTCCAGATATATTCAGTGCCCTTCACGGTCCTGAAAGAATGAAAGTACTCAATATTGGCAATTACTGGGCCTTGAAGTTGTGACTTTTTTTTTTTCCCTGTTATATGTATTAAAAGGAAAAAGAAAATGGAACCAAATTAGTAAGAGAATGTGGATCCTATTCTCAACAGGAGAATAACAAAGAGGACAGTCCGGCCTCTGGCCTTGAAGTGTGCAATACTGTGTGCAATAGCTAAAAAGAAAGAATAACACAAGGTGTGCCTGGGCCTCACCCAGAGCCCAGTGAAGTAAGTAGAAACTCTGGCTGCAATGAACAAATACATTAAGTCTTCCCTCTGCAACAGCATAAAATTTATAAAGGGAAAAGGGCAATCTCTCAGCTAATCCCTTCTGCCCCACAAGAGGTTTCTGTCTCTCCTACTTGCTAGCAACCTGAGTAAATAAGCTGGCATCAGTAGGAAGGACACTGCAGTCCAGCTTGCACTGAGATTGTTTTTCAATAGCTCTATGGACTTCTTTTCCAACTGAACGGCATCTGGATGCTAGATTCTGCAGAGATCTGTATCACATCTCTGCAAATACACTTGCTGAAAATAGTTAACTTTCATGTACTTTGGTATTTTCTGCCTTAAATTATACGGAAAAAATACGACTTTTTTTCCATCTGATTGCATTTTAGATAAATACTAAAATCCAAGAATACTTGGAATAATGAGTCACCAATCAGGGGGAGGAAGATAAATGTTATAAAACAGTGTCTGGCATGTATTAAACCACTACTGGACTGTCAAATCCAGAATCTTAAATGGCAAATATGTTTAGTTTCTATTCTTAAAGGAAAACACTACAATTTTTAAAATATCAGAATCATTTTGTCTGGAAAACCTTGGAGTTCTCTTTAATTATTTCCAAGTCAGTATCAAAGTTACATGTCCTTGTCTGTGTGAAGTGGAAGCTTAGTGATTTCTTCACTCCCTGCTTCTCCAGTGGTTTGGGTGTTAGATTCATTCATTCACCACATGGTAACCAGCTGACATTCACAAGCTGGCTCTCAACTGCAGTAAGCCTGGGAGCTAGACTCACAGCTGGGTCCTCTCATTTTCCTTGAAGCTGGATGGAACAGACAAATCAACAGCAGGAAATTTACATTTAGTACTAGTGATGAATGTTACTATTTGGAATTCAACTATTTCCAAATCCATGGATGCTTACTGAGGCAGCAGCTACACAAACACATATGCAAAGGCAGGGTTCTCCAAAGTCTGCACTTTTGACTTGTTTATACAAACAAAAACAACCCAAGGACTTAAGTTACAAGCCTTCTTTACTTATTTGGTGTGTTTCGATGCCTTCCAGGAGTGGATTAGCAGTGCTGTGGAAAAAAGCTGTATAGCTACAATGGGTCACATTACTCAGCAAGCACACCCCATGCACGGTCACTGCAGCCAGAGCAGATTTGTGTTGCCTGTTTCACCCTACCCTTGCTTTGTAACTTTGGGGTCAGAGCAGATATTTTCTGACAATTTGGCACAGGAACTCTCTTGAAGAGCAGTTTTGGTATGGTAGAAGAAACAGCTGCTTACTTTCTTCACTGTGGTACAGTTTCCTGGGATAATTCCTTGTTGTGTGTCAGGCTGGTGGACATTCATTCCTTTTTAGTTTTTCTCCTTTCTTTTTCAACTGACTTCTGGTCACACATCTGCTTTACCAACATACAAAGTCTGTAATCTTCCTGCTCTGAATGAGTAAACTGGAGCCAGTTGAGCCTCTTGTGAAAGAAAGAAAGTTGGTGGGACAAGAGTCTGTTTTCCCTGAGCTCTTGCCAGGAGACAAATGAAAGGCAGAACTGAGATCTCTACAAGTGTTTGCAACAATTCATGAATTGTGCAACAGAGGTGAGACACTTTCACATGGGCACTGCAGCATCAGGCACTTGAGAGGAAAACTTTGCACCTCAGTACTCAAAAGCACTCCAAAGGCAGCTTAACCAGGAGTATTCTGGCTGGGAAATACAAGAGCCAGGAAAGAAGGCCCAGAGACTACAGACATGTTAAAAGAGGGCTAGGCAGATTAGGGAGATGATAGATAAGTGTTTAGAAATACAAACAAGACATGCGAAAGCTAGTGCACGGTAGCTTGCACAATACCAGCCTGGATATGCAACAGGACAACAGTGGTGTTTGCCAAGAAATTGTCAGAGGGAGAGAAGGTTCTGGAGTGGTCTTTGAGGGAAAGGAAAAAAAAAAATACAGGATTAAGAACAAAAATGACATGATGGAGAGGGCCAGTAGAAAAGGAAAGCTACCAAGGACAGAAGGACAGATGTATTTTGGCAGACAAGGAAAGATATTGCTAAATTGCAAGACAGATAGATCCTGTCTAGGACTGAAGACGTATGTGTTAAGTTGTAAGAAAAGGAAGGGTTAATCCGATGACTGTGCACACAATTCTACTGCTGCTCACACCTCAGCCACAAGGACAACGATAAACACATTCCTTTGCTGTAAATGCAGAAGGTCTTCAAAAGACTTGTCTCAGTTGTTCAACTCAAATTCTAGGACATACTTTGTCTCTTACAACAAGCCTCTCTCTGGTCCATAGCATGGTATGGGTACTTGTTCACCAGCACGAGACTGAGATTGCCTGAACATGAAAAATCAGTGCATGTCATTGAGTTCAATAGAGATATAGTAATTATTTTCACCTAATAATTAAACAAAACAAGTGAAAAGCAAAGACAATTATTTTTGTTGCACTCACTGGAAACGCTACTGTGAACTGATATTACAAAACCACAGGAAAGAGCAAGTTAAAAGGACACACGTAATGGTGGGGTTTTAATTCAGACCACGCAATTTAATTATGCATTACATTAGATCAAAGGGAAACTGAATTTTAAAAAATAATAATAATATCTGCTGGATTGCAGAGGATGGAGTTCCTCTTCTTAAAAGCTCCGGAAAGACTGAGGCTGTATCAATCAGAACAGAAAAACCAAGAGCAAGGATAAATGGAAGGTTAAGTGCACAGGGCTGGGGAACACCCTACCCACTTTTTAAAAGAAAACTATTATAAACCGGATGGCTTTGTGTTGATGGATCTATTGAAAGGGAAAAACACCGATCTACATCCAGACAGAGGCTTTCTGCCTATACATTTACCCTGATGCATGCAACCGTCTTGTATTTCCATATGGAAACACTGACGCTATTTCTCTGCACTCTGATTTCTCTAACAGAAAGAAGAACGGTGCGATTCCCAAAGGGATGCCTAACAATTCATTGTTAAACTCTCCTTTAGCCCGGGAAAAGACACTAATCCAATACAGCTTCTCGTTTCTGTCCAACAGGGGAACGGAACAAAAGCACAAGAAGCAAATCTACAGAAAAATTAAATTCCTTCCCGGTGTAACTGCAGGCAATACGTCCCAGAGCTACGTTTAGCCCGTGCCTTTTGCTGCACTGAACGCCAAATGCCGTGCACGTCCGCTCCTGGCGGCCAGAGCTCATTGCTCATCGGAGGTGCTTCTTTCCGAGCAGGGTTTCTCGGGGCAGCGCTCACGGCAGGACGGCAGAGCGTGTGAGTGAAGGCCGCCCCGCGCTTCTCAGCGCACCGCGGGCGAAGGACGGCTGGGGCCGCCGCCAATCCCTCAGCGCGGAGTCCGCCCTAAAGCCGCAGTTGGATTAGCTCCGTCCCTCACCCCGGGGCGTGCAGTATGCCCTGCCCTGCCCTGCCCTGCCCCGGCCGCGGGGCTCAGCCCCGACTTAGCACGGCGATCCCGCTCCCCGTCCCCGCATCCCCTCAGCGCAGCCCGCCCCACCTGGCCGCGAGGCGCCGCCCGTGACGTCATGGAAACACCCTCGCCTTCAACGGCCGGGCGGTAATAACGCCCCTCCCGGGCGGGAGGAGGAAGGCCAATGCGATCTTCCCATTGGCCGAGGCGGCTGTCAATCCGGAGCGGCGGTCCCGCCCCCGGCCCCTCTCGGGTTCGTCCCCGCGGAGCCGAGCCGGCGTGCCGAGCCGTGGTGCCGCTCCGCGCGCTCCCGCTCTTTCGGCGCAATCAGAGTCGTGCTTTGCGCTCGCGGTCGCCGCTCCCGCCCGACTCCTTCTATCCTCCTTCTTCCCTGGGGCCGGTAGGCGTGGGGCTCAGGTAGGGGCCGGGAGCCGGGGCAGGGCGGGAGGCGCGGGCGGACTTGGCGGCGGGGCTGCGTGGGCTGAGGAGTCGGGCACCGTCCGGAGAGCAGCGGGAGCCGCGCACCGCGGATAACCTCGCGGTCCTCCCACGTCTCCGGCTGCGCTTCGCGGGGCTGCGTGCCACTTAAACAAAAACCCTTTCCCTGCTCCGGAGGGCTCTCGCTGCGTGTTTCGCTCCGTGCTCGTTAGCAGTGAGCTGGGGCTGACTCCGGGTGAGGCGCCGACGCGAGCGCCGCTCCCGGCACGCGGCCCCGCGCCCGTCCCGCTGCCGCCGCGCTCCGCCGGGAGCTGCCGCCGGGGGTCCGCCCGTGTTGGCGGCTCTGCCCCTGCTGTGCGCGCTGCTCGGCACGAGGAAGAAGGGCTGTCGCTGTTACTTAGTTATTTATTTATTTTTCTTTCCTGCCCGCGTCTCAAGAAAATAAGTTAATTAAATCCAGGCGCTTCAGGATGGCGCTGAGTTGATGAAATGTCCGTTTGAGGGCGAATTAAGCTGTTTGAGCTTTAAATACTCGGTTGCTTGAAGCCGTTTGGAATTATTTCCCAGCACTTGTTGGTTTATTTTTATTAGAAGATGTGGAATGGCTGGAGAGAAGGCACTTAACGAGCGTCCCACAATCATCCTTGTGGGATGATTTGTATGCCCGGGATTTTCCTGGGCTCTGATGCTTGTAGCAGACCCGAGAAGGGACACAGGTTGTTGTGGCTTCATCCCTCAGTTCTCAGTGAGAACTCTCACGGAGTTCCCAATGCCTCATTCTCCATTTCAAAGTCTGGTTCACATGCTTAAAGCATTGGCATTTTGCATGAAGCCATAGCTAACCACAGCTTCAATTTCCACAAGCTTCACTTTATTATTACAATAATAATTATTTTTATTCCTAGCAGTGACTAACCAGTAGAGTTCCCAATCCCACATCACCTTTCTTCTCGCTCTGATGTCCAGCCACAGGCTGCATTAGGCTACAACTGTCCTGTTTGCTTTGTACAGGACCCAGCTCTGGAAGCTGGGAGGGGAACTGTAGGGCAGGGAGATGTGCTCTGCGCAGGTGTAGGTACACGCTGTGCTCTGAGGTGCTGCTGAGCAGCTGTGGTCAGGCTGACACTGCTGCACGGTCACTGAGGGCAGGAAGTGATGCTGAGCTCTAATGGAGTTAGCTTGTTGCAACAGTGCGTGTGCAGCCAGCTCACTTTTGGAAGTGTGTATATCATCTTAAAGAATTGGGTCTAATTAGAACACCTATGCATGTATATCTAATAGGCTTTCCTTTGCTTATTGCATACTGTAAGTTTTGTTGCATGCTCTCTAGGGTGAAATGTGACATTATTGTGACAGTCTTGGATCTTACGGTTTCTATTTGTAAGAATGAATTTTCAGTTGCTACAAATAGTACTCTAAGCAATTCATATAGGAACTCTATTTCCAACAGGAAGGTTTGCAGCTCCTTTTGCAGCTGATGTACTTTAGGATTAACTTTGATTTGCTTCTCAGTACTTTGAGATGTGGGGTTTTGGTGCTTTGCCACTGAATTTACAAAGTGGGGACATGCATTGCTTTTAGTGCGTGCGGCTGCCACTTGTGGTACCTGTATGTGAATCTTCCAATACTGTGCCTGGAATTATTGCATTATTGCTCTAGTTCCTTGTCTGTCTGAAGAATGAGGAGGTGTTGTGTGTGTAATGTTGTGGGTACGTGTCTGTATTCTGCTGACATAGAAATTAATACTGACAAATGTATTTTAATTACCTTAGAATAATTTGCGCTGCCTGCCATCAGGGTTAAGAGACGTGGGTGCTGATGGTAACATGACAATGTAAGTAAGACAGAAAACAGAAACAGTTGAGAAACACACTGCTGGGGGTCTGACAGAACCAGTGTCCATTACAGAATTCTGTCTGTCTGCCTAAGCTTGCTCCTTCTGCAGAGTCCTCTTCCTGCTGCTTGTGGTTTTCATGTAGCACTTATCATATGTGCAGAAACACCAGATTGTTACAGATGAAGTAATGACATGAATTAATGCAGTATTTTTAGTGTTAGTTTTGGAGCTCTGTCAGTGTGAAGCCCACGGCATATTGTTTCACATTAAGTGAAACAAAACAAAAGTTAAGAGCAGCCTCAGAGCAAAGGAAGAAAATAAAGAACTCACACCAATTCTTTCTCACTCGAAGTGTCTGAACTGAGATGACTGCTAACAAGCAGCCCACCACTCAGATAACTGCTCCGTGTAACGATGTGATGGCAGTTGTGGTACACATACTGTCAGTAAAAGCACAGTGCTGGCTGAGGTCGGGCAGTGCAGTGCAGCTCAGCCCACACGGCCCTGCCTGCCCGGTGCACAGAGCTCTGCTGACTCAATGCAAGCTCCTTAGGGTACAAGTCACGTGTTAATATCTAGCAGTGAGCATAACAGTGCTTAATCCTATTTCAGTGTCTGGGTGTTCCATGGTGCTAACCACAGAAGTAAAAACAAATAGACTTCTGACGTGGAAGGCGCTGAGCAATTTTTGTGATATGCGCTTGCTGAGAATTCTCTGTCTTTGGCTGAAGGCTGTCCTACATGTGGTTCGTAAGGTGCTTTTTTTTTTCCTATTTATTCACAGTAACAATCCTTATTTCATTGTTCCCTTTTCTTAGCCATTGTAACTCTCTAAGCTCCAGAAGACAGTGAGCCTTCATTTTATAAGGTCCATAAGGTTAATGTGATACTAAATGCTTCTGGAAGATAAATACCAATAAATGTGGCTTGATAGGAATTCTTGTTATGTGCAACAGAAGAGAGAAAATGAGTGAGAACTGACTTTTGCTGACCCCTAGGCCTCGAGTTGAACCAGTGCATTCAATACACCAGGAACATTCAGAATGGCTGGGAGCTCAGAGGGATCTCTGAGTGTACTAATTGCATGTCTGACTGCAAGAAAGCCTGACACAGTGGCTGCCTAATAGCATCTTAGTAAATCACGGGAGGAAGGCAGCATATGTGCTTTCTCACATGCCTCTGGCATTGCTCTGCAGTTTTGGATCGGCTTAAATTGAATTTGAACAATTCGTCCTTTGCAGTCACTATATAGAACACTAACCAAGCTCTGTGTCCCTTGTCTGACCAAGAGGTGTGCGTGGATTTTTGGCTCGAGATTTCTCCTTTCCATGTCCAGTTGTTAAGATATGAGCACCTGACCTGAAGATTTATTCCTTGATCTTTCTGTTGTGGGGGTTTTGTTGGTTGAATCATATTTATGTTGGCAGATACAAATGTTGCCATTTCAATGACTTCTTTCCGTCTGAATGTTTTATTTGGTATTTGTGCTAATATATGCACAAACAAATCTACCTTTCTTCTTTCTTCTATTGCAGTGCATGAATTGGTAATCTTTTGATTTATCTCCTCACAATACCAGCATTTTAGTGATACCTTCAGACTCTGCCTGCATGTTGGTTAAGCTGTACCACTCTGCCCTCCCCCAAAAAATCAGCAAAAATGCTAGTATGTTGCACGATGAATGTCAAACAGTGCTTGTATTTAACTGTGGTTCCTAGAAGAAAGGCAATAATAATCCAAAATAATGAAGCTGGGAAACTAATAATCCTTGTTTGCACCCATATTAATTTTAGATCTGTTCTTTGTTTATGGTAACGTTATGTGTTGCACTTTATTGCTGAGTTTCTTTAGTGACTTTTGCTGCCATTAGAAGAATGTGAAGCATTGGACTTTCTGTCCAAGTGGCTTTCTATCCTCTCATTAATGGTTTTAGAGTTGAAGTCTGAAGCATTTCCCTGGCTGAAGGCAGTCTGACTCTTTCCTCATCTTAATTTGTGCCATTTCTGTTATCACTACTTAGGGTAGTACCTCTATAAGTCTTTTCACAGGTGTCATCTCTTATCTATTTTTACGCAGAGGGTGGTGACGCACTGGAACAGGTTGCCCAAGGAGGCTGTGGATGCCCCATCCCTGGAAGCATTCAAGGCCAGGCTGGATGTGGCTCTGGGCAGCCTGGTCTGATGGTTGGTGACCCTGCCTGTAGCAGGGGGGTTGAAACTAGATGATCATTGTGGTCCTTTTCAACCCAGGCCATTCTATGATCTATGATCGTCATCACTCATTCAATTTGAGATCACCTTTCTCTGACACTGTCATCTTTATACCAATTTTTTTCCCACGTTCTGAAGGTTTTTCCTACACAGTGTGTATGCGTTATTGTTCTGTTTGTTGTCTGTTCCATTCTTCATGTATTGTTAGTGAAACTGAATGAATCTTCTAGTCTTAACAGTTCCAATAAAGAACAACTGCGTGGGTTTAAACAGTTGCCTTAAGCGTTTGTTTCTTTCTGCCTGGACAGTAGCTGAAACCACAGAAGCGACAAATTCAGACTGGCTTGTCAGTCCCCAGCAGAGCAGTGTGTGTGGGAGACTTTATCCTTCTCAGCGCACAAGCCCGTCTGTGTCATTCTTAATTCTGCTTGTTACAGAAGGTTGTCTTGCCCTTCAAGTTTTTAAATGAGCAGAGAAGGATACTGCTCTCTGGCACGATTTTGTTCTATCTTAATAACCATTTACTCATACTATTTTTTTGTTGTTGAAATCATAGAATCTATAGAATAGAACTATGGAATCATCAAGGTTGGAAACGACCTCCAAGATCAGCCAGTCCAACCATCCACCTATCACCGATATTTCCAACTAAGCCATGTCCCTTAGTACAACATCTAAATGACTTTTGAACACCTCCAAGTTTGGCGATTGCACCATGTTCCTGGCAGCATGTTCCAGCATCTGACCACTCTTTCTGAGAACCTTTTCCTAACATCCAGCCTCAACTTCCCCTGGTGCAACTTGAGACCATTCCCTCTTGTCCTATCACTAGTTACACAGGAGAAGGCTCCAACCCCCACCTCACCTTCCCTGCCCTTCAGGAGAGTGGTAAGGTCTCCCTGAGCCTCTTACAGACTAAATAATCCCATCTC